AAATATGTGATATTTCACATACTACTGTGTTTCAAAATAATCTATTTTTATATTTGTATCAAACACTCGACATACTTTGTTTGGAACCATGTGCCAACAATCAAACTCAAAATATGTAGTATATACTACAATATGCATGTGAAAGAGCATGCTATTTTTTAAACAATAAAGTTACCTTTATTTCCGTCGAAGAGGGAGGAAAATCCAATTCCTCTGTGAAAGTAAACAGTACATTTAAAATAAATGTAACAGTTTTTAAATATGTTTTTCTTCCATCAAATTATATTATTATATTGCTTGAGTTTTCCGGTGCAAAGAAGTCTAGATTATGAAACTTATGGTTGGTAATTTGTACATTTACATGAAATCTTTTTGTAGTAAATGAATGTAAGTAACCGTTTTTCAATGTTATGGAAATAAACTAGATTTTACCTTGTTTAGTTCTTGTTTTGACGAGACTTTCGTACTCTACTATTGGCTTCAGTGACATGTCCTCTAAGTCAGTATAAATGCTGTCATCTCTATAAATCATAAACAAGTGTTGAACATTAATATTTTATTGATGAAGAGTAAATATTAAGGATATTGTGTCACAGCTACAATGATACTTGTCTTGTACAATGAGAGATTTTAAACATACCTTGCTTCAAAATGTTTTACATCATCTTTGCCTGAACAAAAATACATAAGGATGATAATTATTAATAAAGTACATTGAATTAATACCAATATAAACTTTCTAAAGAATCACAAACTATATACAAACTAGAATTTGCTAATGCTTCTACCAAATACAAGGTTTCAATTTTTGCACAAATATTGTAATCGTTTTAACGAGTGTTAATTGACATTATAGCGTTATTTATTGATAATAATGCAATTAAAGAAACTACTCACTGTCACTCCCATCGGCCCGTCGTTTGTGGCGATGTAGTACGAATACAATAATTACAACTGAGCCGGCAATTACTACACTAATTAACATAAGTACCCCTAAGAATGCACAGTCGGCAGAACTTTCATCAATCATCCCACCTGTAGTCAATTTACATAACATTACTATAAAATCAACTAATAACAAATTGATTAAATAATTATAAATTTATACATAATGCAATCAGTTTTAATTTAAATGACTTCATATCCAATAATTGTCTATGCGTATAATATCTCGTTACTCACATAGCGTTGATTCGACTATTGATTCACTTCGCGTTTCGCCGATTTTGTTTTTACTGACAACTATAATAGGGTATTCTGTGGATGGTTTTAAATTGAAAATCGTGTCGAATGGGTTAGTTGTATATGCTGTATACTCAGTATTGTGTTCCAAAGATTCTTTATACGCGATGTAAAATACTTGTTGTTCTCCGCCATTGAACCCAGGTATCCATGTTAAAGAGATGGATGTGTCCGTTTTATTAATTACGCGAACGTCAGTTACGCTGTCTGGTGAAGCTGTAATTAAATAATTGATACTAATGATACAGAGTAGTAGACCTAGGTAATCAGGAGGTATTTATAATGTATTGCATAAAAAACATGATATAAATGGCTACACAGGCGATCTTTTTTCAGTACTTACATATTTCTGAAAATAGAACAGTATGAATAACACTACCAATATAGTTTCTCGCTACACAATAATACTCCCCGAAATCAGACTCTTCTACACTCATTATTGTCAAGATGCTCGTTTTAAGAACAGTTTCGTTTTGTTCACGGATGATCATTTTGCCTGTGTCGTTGCTTAGTGTTTCGTTGAACTGATCTAACCATGTGAGGACTGATTCTGGATTGCTGTTTATTTCACATATCATATTAACTTGTCCAGTCAAATTAGCCGCACATCTGCTGTTAGTAATCCTGTTCTCAATGATTGGAGGATCTGTAAAAATGCGGGCGGATGTATGTCATGTGAAATTCCATCAGAAAACTTGATTAAACAATTACCTAACTAAAATGTTTTTAAAAAAAGAATGTGTGTCTTCGCATTAGCTTCAGGTTCAGGTTGATAGAGTGTATAACGATACTTTAACATCAATGAAAATGGCTAGACTCAGTTGCTTTTAAAGTTGCTTTTCGATGTTTAATGTATTGAAACAAGATTCGTTTTAAGTAAACAGTGATTATATTACATTATTAATTTAAGTTATTCAATTCAATAAAACT